AACCGAAAAAAGACAAAAAAATCAACGTAAAACGCATATCTACTCTTTCCTTCAACTCGTATCTGCTTCAAAGCTTAGCAATAATTTTGGCAATTCTTCCTGTCTTTTCTGTCGTGTTATTATGCGCGCATTTGTGGTTGTGGCAGCAGAAAAAAATAAAAAATAAAATTTATGATTTTTTCACATCATTTTGGCGTTTGATGAAATGCCAACACAATTACAAGCATTAGCTGTGCTTCCGCAACCCTTTTCTAGTGCGCTTTCATTGCGCTAAGCAGCTAACATTTGATAAGATATCACGCAGGCCTTGCTTGGGAGGCAGAAAGTAAGCGAGGATATACCCCTTTTCATGTCAGTGTAATTGTATCCTTTTTTTTTTTATATTTTTTGTGTATTTTTTGGTGATTGAATTGCATACCTAAGCGCTAACATATGTACATAGCATTAACTCAATTCAATTAACACTTATTCAAAGCATTGAAAAGCAATGCAGCAAATAAAATTATAAAAAAATTGAATTGCCACATTTTTGGTACGAAAAAACCTTTTTTGAGTTTGCAGATCATTTATCAATTTAAACATTTACAAAACCATCGTAACGAAAAAGCACACTGCACTTAAATATCTGTTATCCGTGTGCAAATGCTTTTATCCGCACTGCCAAAACATGCTCAAAATTCGAAAAAAAACAGTTTCTTTGCTGCTTTAAACCATAAAACCTTATATCCGGCCAAGTAAAATTTTATCCTAGCAACACATACATATTTAATTAAAACTACAACGTTATCTTAAATCAAATAAAGCGCTAAAATCTGTTATCTGTTATCTGGCTGAAAAAATTTAAAACCCATCGTAGTGAAAATAGCATGCTGAACCTTCAAATCCATTATCCGGGTGCGGAACTCGTTATCCGTGTCTTCAAAGGTTTCTCACAATTTAAAAACTAATTTTATGCTAATTCCAACTACAAAATCTTTTATCCGTCTATGTAAGGCTCTATCCAAGAAACAGATAATTTCATGAACAACGAAAAGCTACTATTTTAGCGCTTTGCCACCGCATAACGCACTAAACTCGGTTATCCCGCTAAAAGAACTTGTATCATTTTAACAGAATATAAAACCATTATTGTGGAATTAGTATGCTAAATCTAAAAAACTTTTATCCGGGGTCCAAATTTTGTATGCGTCAAAAATTTCTGAAATTTTAAAACCAATTTTTATTCTACTTTCAACTGCAAAACCTTTTATCCGGCTATGTGAATTTATATCCCAGCAACAGATAATTACATTTACAACGAAACCCGTCGAATAAAGCACTGAACTCGGTTATCTGGTTGCAAGGACATGTATTCGATGTATTAATTTTTTTCGTAATTTAAAATCCGTATTCTTTGCAAATTTTTGTCTTGCAAATCACTTTCTGACAGTTTATAAACAGGTTCTATGCTGCTTTAAGCCCTACATCTTTTTATCCGACAATGTAAAATTATATGCAAGTGTACATATGTACGATTAAAACATAGAACACGATAATTTTAGGTCCTTTTCATAGAATCAAGCGCAAAAATCTGTTATCCAGCTGCAAGCACTTGTATCCAAATTATAAGATTTTTTCGTAATTTAAAATCGTTATTCTGCATTCATTTTGTAGTTCAAATCGCCTATCCGCAAATGCAAATGCAAATAGTATCCACACACGAATATAGTTTTTATACTATAAATAAAATACTATTNAAAAACTTTTATCCGGGGTCCAAATTTTGTATGCGTCAAAAATTTCTGAAATTTTAAAACCAATTTTTATTCTACTTTCAACTGCAAAACCTTTTATCCGGCTATGTGAATTTATATCCCAGCAACAGATTACATTTACAACGAAACCCGTCGAATAAAGCACTGAACTCGGTTATCTGGTTGCAAGGACATGTATCCGATGTATTAATTTTTTTCGTAATTTAAAATCAGTATTCTTTGCAAATTTTTGTCTTGCAAATCACTTTCTGACAGTTTATAAACAGGTTCTATGCTGCTTTAAGCCCTACATCTTTTTGTCCGACAATGTAAAATTATATGCATGTGTACATATGTACGATTAAAACATAGAAACACGATAATTTTAGGTCCTTTTCATAGAATCAAGCGCAAAAATCTGTTATCCAGCTGCAAGCACTTGTATCCAAATTATAAGATTTTTTCGTAATTTAAAATCGTTATTCTGCATTCATTTTGTAGTTCAAATCGCCTATCCGCAAATGCAAATGCAAATAGTATCCACACACGAATATAGTTTTTATACTATAAATAAAATACTATTATTTCCGCACATTGCTAGCGAATAAAGCACCAGATCTGTTATCCGCCTGCAAAATCTTTCACCCGGAAAATCGAAACTTTCGCGTATTTTATGTTACTTTTCGTCTTTTACTTTTAATATAACACCAAGAAAATATCAATGAAACAGAAACTGTTGTATTAAAAAGGATAAAGCAATAAAATCTGTTTTTCAACTGCAAATTTTTGTATCCCGTGGTTTAGGATAAATAAATTTTTGGCATATGTGTGGGAGCTTGTATGAACATTTTCATTCTCCAAATTCCTTATCCGGCTCAAAAAACTTTATCCGTATATGCGAACAATACATATAATGATCAAATATTACTTTAGTGACACTATAATCCATCTTTTTCATGGATTTTTTTTTATCCGTATGCATAATAATTAATTTAATTTCTTTAAAATGCTTCTAAAACGAAACGGATTTGTTAAGTGAAGATAAGACATTATCCATAAGGTCGAAAACTGTTTTGCCCCTGGATAAGGTTGTTCTCTACATTTTTCACTCTTAAAATATCTTATCCATCTTGGTAAACTTTTATCCGAATATGCGGATAAGGGTAGCAATAAGGGAAACCTTCTGGTGTGGTACTTGCAATCTTTTGAGTACGAAATATGTTTATCCGGTCGCATGTTCCCATAGAAAAAACTTCGAAAA